GCTGCACCGGGACTCCCCGTGTACTTTCTGCACTTGGCTGCTCCCTGAACGCTGGACTCGCAGGCCCCGCCGCCCGCGCACCTCCATGTGGGCATCTAAGACACATGCATCGTAAACTCGACAAGTCCAAAGAGAACTCTTGATTTTCCTCGTAATGGTAACTAACACCACGAGATGGGCATTTTGCCACTGAATCCTCAGGCACAGCCATGAGATAGGTGCTATGATGGTCCTGCTTTTACATAAATGGAAACTGAGACTCAGAGACTGGGAAGTATGGCCGAGGCAGGTCAGTGACGAAGATGGGATACACTTTGGTCTATGTCCACAGGGCCCATGCTCACAGCCCCATGTCCCCAACTCAGGGAGCACCCTCTGACGGGCCAGAGTCCTCGGAGCTGCCCCTCATTCCTCTCCTTGAAGCCCCCACGCGCCATCCATCAGCAAGGTCCTTCAGCCCCATCTCCAGCATACATCTCAGACCTGCCCCCTTCTCTCCATCTTTCTTACCACCACTGTCCCTCTCCTGATCCACGATGGCCACTTGCCTGGGGTCTCACCTATTGTTTTTCTTTATGGTCCATTCTCCACACAATGGCCCGTATGATTTTTTTTAAAACCTGAGTCTGACCTTATCCCTGCCTTGCCAGAGATCTCCAGTGGCTGCTCCATAAAATTAGAACAGAATCCACAGCCAACCAGACACATGTAACGTGGCCCCTGCTCACCTTTCTGAACTAGGGCTCCTTCCCACCCACCGTGCTCAGTCATACTGGCCTCCTGACCACACTGAGCGCGCTCCACGACATTCCTCTACTGGGGACTCTCCCCCAAGTCTGTGTCTCCATCGCAGGTTCATCTCTTCAGGTCTCAGCTCAAATGTTGCACACAAGGGGGTCTCCCTGTCCAGCTTCCTAATCACCACTCCTGGGCCCACCCCCAGCCTTGCCCACCACTGCTCACACCTCTCCTCCCCCTGCCTGGGGTTGTTATTATTTTTAATATGTCTTTATTGATTTCAGAGAGAGGAGGGAGAGGGAGAGAGATGGAAACATCAATGATGAGAGAGTCATTGATCGGCTGCCTCCTGCAAGCACCTACTGGGGATCGAGCCTGAAACCCAGGCATGTGCCCTGACTGGGAATTGAACCATAACCTCCTAGATCCTAGGTCTATGCTCAGCTGCTGACCCATGCCGGCCAGGCCTGAAGTTATTTTATTTGTTCATTTGTTTATTGTCTGTTTCTCTTACCGGAGAGGAAGATGTACAGGCAGGGTCTTGTCCATCTTGGCCACCAAGGTACCACCAGCCTCACAGAATGGCCGGCATATAGTCTAGACAGCAAGCAGCAGTCTTTGAGGGGGTGACTAAAAGTGGTCTCATTTTCTCCTAGCTGATGTCCCCCTAAGGTATTTAGAAGAACTGATTTTAATCATTTAGAGTTCCTTCCAGGGTGCTGCTCAAGTATCCTCACCCAGTGCATGGTACGTGCGCAGTAAAGCACAGCTTACATTTACTGGGCCCCACTGCAAGTAGGCATTTGACACACACTGTCATCCTCACAGGCGACACCATGCTGTGAGCTGGGTGTGGGGCTCACTGTGAAGGTATGGAAACCGACGGTGAGAAATGTGCTAGGGGTACTCAGCCAGAAAGGGGCAGAGCTCAGGTTTGGACCCAGGTGACCTGAGTTTACCTGCCAAGCACTTTTCAGCAGGAATATTGGGTTCCGTTTGGACCGGCAGGGAGAGCAATGGATCAGAGAGGGCATGATAAAGAGCTTCTCATCTATACACACGAGCGCCGAGAGGAAAATGGTTGTGGCTGCACCTGGCGGAGGGTGGAACAGGGGGATCACAGGTTTCTCAGGTGCTGGGGGCTCAGGAGTTTCTCTCCCATGATAAGTCAGCTGTGGGACTGAACACAGTGGCAGGTGGCAGAGAGGAATCCCATGGCCATCACCAAATGTCTATGATGAGCTATGTCACAGGCGGGTGATGCGGGATTCAGGGGCAGTGGAGTCTTGAGTGGTGTCCCTCACCCGAAGAAGCTGCAGTCAGGGGGGCTGCACCTCCCACCCGCCCTTCCTTAGCTGTCAGGCAAAGCTATCAGATGTGATACTGTTGTAATTAACTAGTTATTAACAACAGGCAAAGAGTAAGGGGGCAGTCAGACATTGTAGGCATGTCATTTAGGCAGCTTCACTAGGAAACTACAACTTTATACTCCCCTGAGGTCCAACAAAGGGGAGACAGACACATTCCCAGTAAAGCTGGGGGATTAGGGAAGGTGCTTGCTGTCAGTTATACCCGGGGACACAGACGGTTGGCCAGGATGGGCATGGCCACTGCAAGTGCTTGAAGATTTGGGATATTTAATCCCTTGAACAAAGGAACTCACTCTTTTGTTGCTCTTGTGTTTTTACTGCTCTTGGGATCTTGGGACTTGGGTGACTCTGCACTTGGGGGGTTACCCTGCATTCACCCACAGGGCCCACGGCCATGCAGACCCCATTCATAATGGACTAATGGACTGAAGCTACCCTGATGCTAAACAGGACCCAGCTGCAACATGGAAAGGAAACTCTGGACACTGACTGTGCTTCTAGCTCCACTGAAACTCCAGCCACACTTCTTCTATGACTGGACAAAAGGAAACCCAGGAATTTAACTCCACACAATTAAATCACTTGTTGTCCTGTGTGAGTCTCAGAAAATTCTTTTTCTTGAGAAATCATAAGGACCCCACAGCCAGCAGCACACAGTGGGGAAGAGGACCTCTATCCAATTTAGCTATTTATTTATTTATTTATTTTATTTTTATTTTTTTTAAATATATCTTTATTGATTTCAGAGAGAGGAGAAGAGAGGGAGAGAGAGAGA